TCTCTTAAGGGAGAGTTGGCAGCGGCGGCTGAGGAGCGCCTCCGTAACGAGGTCATTCTTGGTGGCCGTGAGGACGAAATTGCCACCTCGAAGGCGGAGCTCGCGGAGCTGGCGGCGGGGAAGGGGGCCACGGACAAGAGGCTCGCGGAGGTCGAACGCTCCGTTGTGGTTGAGCACAAGAGGGGCTTCCAAAAGGCTGCTCGTCAGGCTCAGCTTCTGGCTCCCGGATTCGACTTTTCTTCCATGCATGTGGAGAAAATTGTCCTCTTTGGGAGGCTAGTCAAGGAGGAGATGCCGACGACAGTTCTAGCGAGGATGCTTCAGCCTAGGCCGCCTTTGTAATAGCTTGGTTTATTTTTCTTTGGATTGAATTGATGTACTGAATTTTGAGAACTTTGTTTGTATATATATATATTTTGCTCTATCTTGTCCGTATTTGCGTTCAATTTTGGTTGTTCACGCTGTTTGAGGCACATGTTTGGTGTTTGTTATATGCTTGTGTATATGGTGATAGTTCTACCTTGAGTTGGTGAAGTCGAGGCTCGAGGTCGGCCTTAGTTTTTTGTTTAGTAGGATTTTTCGTGGGAGTTCGAACTCGGCTGTAAATGAATGTGTGAAGATTCGTATTCGACCTCGAATTTTGACTAAGTAATTATTGTGAAAGTTCATAAATGACCCTAGACTAGAGGCAAGGTCAGAATTCGACCTTAAGTAAATGTGTTGAGGCTCGTATTCGACCTCGGATTTGAATTAGACGATTTGGTTAGGTTCGGACTCGACCTTTATCAGGAGTGGCGAGGCTCGTATTCGCCCTTACACTTTTATTTTGAGCAACTGATTTTATTGTGGTTCGGATTTGACCGATTTTATTAAGGTTCGGGTCTGACCTTGAAAGTGCCGATGTTCGTATCCGACCTTAGGCTTTGGTGGGGTTCGGGTTTGGTCTTAGGTTTGAGCAAAATGATTTAGCTAAGGTTCGAACTCGACTTTTAAGCGGGGACATCGAGGTTCATACTCGACCTCGGTTTTGAATAAAATGAATTTTTGGCGAGGTTCGTATTCGACCTCGGATCTGGATGCTGTGGTTCGTACTCGACCTCATATGTTAAGGGAGGTTCGGACTTGACCTCGGACTTCTGTTTGGGTGAGCATTTCTGTGAAGGTTTGATGACCTTGATTTATTAGCGCCGAGGTTCTGAGTCGACCTCAAACCGGAGTGTAGTGAATTGGATAGGTGGTTCGTATCTGCCCTTAAGTTTAGGGTCATGTATGTTTTGTCACGGTTCGAACTCGACCTTAGGTATACGGCTCGTACTCGGCTTTTAACGACAGTGTCGAGGTTCGGACTCGACCTTAGATTTAGGGTGGTGCGTGTTTCATCGAGGTTCGAACTCGATCTCGGATATATGGTTCGGACTCGACCTCATAATAAGTTATTAAGGTTCGAACTCGACCTTTAACAGAAGCGTCGAGTTTCGTATTCGACCTCAGAATTTGCGAGTTGGTTCGATTAAGGTTCGAACTCGACCTTTAACAGAAGCGTCGAGTTTCGTATTCGACCTCGAATTCGAGTGAAGTGATTTGATTAAGGTTCTGAATCGACCTTTGAAGAGTGATTTGATTAAGGTTCTGAATCGACCTTTGAAGAAAGCGTCGGGGTTCGTACTCGACCTCGGATTTGCTATTTAATTGAGGTTCGAACTCGACCTTTAGCGGAAATGTCGAGGTTCGGGCTCGACCTCAAATTTGAGATATGCTATTTAATTAAGGTTCGAACTCGACCGAGAGCGTCAAGGTTCGTACTCGACCTCAGGTTTGAGATAGATTATTTAATTAAGGTTCGAACTCGACCTTTAACGGAAGCATCGAGGTTCGTACTCGACCTCGGATTTGCTATTTGATTAAGGTTCGAACTCGACCTTTGACGGAAGCATCGAGGTTTGTACTCGACCTCGGATTTAGATAATCAGGAAAATAAGAATATGAGATGAGCGAAAGGAGTAATTTTATTTATGGTGCTTGTGTGCCTCGTTAAAAACCCTCTCAATCAAAGGCTCAGGCGGGAAAAGAGTGCACAGCTTTGTTCACACTGGAAGAAGAAGAGAGACTTAAAAACTTAAGGAGCTATGGTGAGGGGATTCCCCTTGCTTTGCTTGCTCGGCGAGGAAATCTTCAGGCTCTCGGCGTAGCATTGCCGAGCTGCATTATGTAATTCTGAATAGATCATTGGATCTGTAAAGGAGAAAGGGTTTTTCTCCTTGTTGGTGTTTGAATCTCAACACAAGGAAAGGGAGTTACGAGGTGTTGGAGGATTCATTTTCTTGTAAGGTTTACAAGAGTAGTGGAAATCTCAAGTGGGAGACTTGAGGACTGGATGTAGGCAGGATTGGCCGAACCAGTATAAAATCAAGTTTACAATTCTTCTTTCCCT